GTCAGTAGTTTGAGTTAACCTATTGGCGCCGGAAAAGCTTTTGGTTTTCTTCACATTGAATGATTTCTGATGATTCTCGTCTCATGTGCTAGCGCTTTCGGATGTTACTGATGTAGGCAAAAAATCAAACTTTTAAACTTGTTTATTGATAGACCATCTCACCTGTAAGGATCTACAAAAAGTAGAATCTCATAAAGAACTTCTCAATAAGGGTAGACACCGCGCTGGCCTATACCGTGTTAACAACCTGGTGGTCACGATAATCTCTACAAAATTTACTTTGCAAAAATGGCAATAAACTGGGTTACACTGTATTTAAATGCATCTGATATGTACAACAATCAGGATAGAATTTCATCCTGCGTGAGATAATTGTATAATAATTTTATTTTATAAATAAAAAGTACACAAGAAAGAAGAATAAGTGTCCACCACACGGCACGCACTGATTTATATTTTCAATTTTGCTAAGCGCAAGATATTAACAAATCAATCAACAGACAAACATTCATACTCAACAAATTAAACAGAATGTAAACCAATCACAAACGGTACTAATCAAAGTTTACAATGGTGAAGGTGCACCGACAAGGCAAGAAAGCACGTATTCAGCAATTAAGTAAAGCTATTGCAACAATGATACATCTTGAGCAGAAACAAATCCAACGATAGAGAGCCTTCTCAACTTCCTTCACTGTCGGCGTCATCCAACCGAAATAAACGCAGTAATTTGTCAGTTCCTCGAACTACGAATCGACAAGTTGTCGGATCCCACCTACAAGGTTGTCATTTCTTACTTTCGTCTATATTTCGGAGACGTTGCAATAATCAGCATAAGATTGAATACTAGTATTGTCGCTTCTTTGATTATATCCCGCATTTAGGGGTGCCGCGCGTGGTACTGCGATTTTTCTCCTTATTCCTCTTCTTTTTTTCTCTCTTCCAAGAATCTACATTCAGCAGTGCTTGGCAAACAGAAAATTTGTTCGCAGAATGCTATAGAAGTAAAACTATACCGTAATATTCATTTCACCAAAAGGTCATATCAGTATGGAAAGTGATTCACGATTACTCCCTGGGTTGATTCTATTAAGTCTACTCAAGTTGTGCCCATGGTAGCGGCTCTAACAATAGAAAATCTGTCATTCTTAATTTGCTGATTTCAGGATTGGACGTTGCATTTACGACATTTCGAACTTTACCAAGGACTGAGGGTCATCCATGTAGAGGACAATAGATTGCATACGCTCTTCTCGCGCGGATACCTAGCACTTGTAACGGAGAAGAGTACGCATTTGTTGCAGATGTCCTGCGAGACCCCCTCCCCGCCGACGATCTGATGTCCTCTACTACATCTACCCTATTTTTTTGACTCAAAATAATTATTTCTATAAAACTTACATCGTGCCCGTCACTGACTGAAGAGATAGGATATTATGGGTCGGTGGCGGAAAAGGCGTGAGCGTAATATCGCTGAGGTTGATCATTCGAAGTCTAAATCACCAAAATTATCTAATTTCAAAAGAATCAAAAGTTTCACCTTGGTACATCAGCAGCTAAGAGTAACCGCATTTTTGGAGAGAAACTTAATACTTTTACGTCAGTAGGACAGATTTTCTTGCTGACAATTTCTTTTCTTGCAGCAATGTCGAATAGATGTACCGTGCCAGATTCACCGGCTAAGGCCAGCACTCGTGCTGAACCGTCCACAGCAAACACCGAACGTTCTGAAAAAGACCACATTAGACATATTTGTGAATATAGTTAGGCAAAAAGCTTACTCGGAGGACTTGGACCTGGAGGGTTTGTAGAAAAATGTGCAACAGCATCGTCTACTCTGGCATCCCAAAGTGTCACTCCACCTCGGTTTTCTCCTGCTGCCACCATGCATCCCAGCCATGAGTACAATGATGTGGCCCCACCTGTTAAATCACCATCTTAAATTTTCAAAAGTTATTCAAAGAACTCTGTGATGAACGTTGAAAATTCTTTTTTAAAAAATTGGATCAACGAAAGGATTGTTTGCAATTCTGAATTATTTTGGTCTGTGCGTTTATTTTACTTTCAACCCCAAGTCGAAAAAAGCTGGGATCCCTCTCCCCCTTTCCTCCCACCGTAGAACGATGATTGGCGAATTGTGATTACAGCGAAGCTGGTCCTTTAGTAGAATTTTCAAAGCCTTGAAGGATACGAGGTTTTCTGCTTTCTATTTGAGCAGATTTGGCCAGATTCTCAACCGTAACTATAGCCGTATGGCTAAGGGTAAGCTTCTTCTCGACCGATATTTCCAAAATTTTGCAGTATTTTCATGAACGTGTTGAAACCGCCAGGAAAAGCCTATCGAGTATCAGCGATAAACGACTTTTGGAACTTCACCGTATATCTCTCTTTTTCAAAAACATTTTTTAAGAGACCGAAGTTATACCTTTGCTAGTTAGAAATCGAAATATTGCTCCGCTTTGCGCATCCACTATATGGATACCCGAGGAGGACCCAACCAACACCAAACTTTGTTTTGTTCGCTGGTCATCCATAAATAAAGCGCACAGAGGTCGCTTTGAGCACTTGAGCTCAACAGTAGAATCTCCTAGAATTCTAAGCTTATGTTTCTTACTACTGATGGTAACTTCCAATTACCAAATGCTCCATTTTCTGCATCGACAGTGCCTATTGTGACAAAGCCATCGTCTGTGGAAGTGGATGCGAAGAGATCAGCCGGCCTGTTCAAAGTCAACGAAGAGATTCTGGATGAAGAGACCAGTGTAGTTGCTACCGGTACAGGACAAGGGCTGAACGAAACATGATCTTAGTGGTATTCTGATTCTTAGAGTTTCTTGGTTTGATGGAAATTTTTTGGAGTGAAGTGCGTAAGATCAAAGTGAAAGAGATTATGATAAATCATATTTCTGGATTCCCCAAAAATTTTCATTGGCTTTAGAGATCAACTTAGCCGTAACCGCGCAGGTTCATCCAAGGAATTTTGTCAAGTTGTAGAAATCTC